TGATGTAGATGATTTTGACAAGTGTGTAATTCGAAGGACGATTAACGAATTTCACACTACACAAGGGAGCGTCCTACTTTAAAATCGTTGTTGGCAGTAATTAAAAAAAAGATTAACTTCAGTGGCGGGAAGTGGGCTGTTTGGAAAATAATTAAAGATTCAGGCTTCAGGAGGAGGAAATCGTTAAAGATAACAAAGACGCCACATTCAAAACGCATCACGTGAGTTGTTCGTCAGCCGCTGTAAGTAATTCAATCTGTACTGATATTTTTGTGTTCAGTAGTACAGAGAAATCTGTTCCCCTACTCGCCCCACTATCGCTAGCAGACAGCGTCAGTACCCTCCCTCACGCGCATTTGAAAGCTCATGTCTCAGCGAACGACTTATACTTCAGAAAGACTAATTAAAAGTTAAATTGGCCTGTAATCTGTCATTCTAGTTTTGTCACTTTTCTTGTACAGCGGTCGTACTACTGATATTTTAAGGCGGTCCGGGAAAATGCCTCTGATTACAAATGTGGGTTAATGGATGACCAATTAAAGCTGAACAAGCTTTCGAAATTTTACTTGTTATTGCATCATAACCTGATGAGTTTTTAGGTTTGAGGGACTGCATTACACTTTTCACCTCAGTTTCAGTGGTTGGAAAGATATTAAGACCAGAAAATCTTACAGGAAATGCAGCTTTTAAAAATGTTCCTAATGTACATAAAGAGACTCCTTTTATGCTTGCAAGATACTTTTATACCTTGCGTAATCCAGTCATTCTTTATTTTGCCTACACTTTCATATGTAATAGGAAAACTAGCTTCAAAAATGTTTAGAAGAAAACACAAATGAGTTAAACATTTTGTTGGTATCATTGACTTCATAACAGATTCCCATGATTCATTCTTCAGAAGAAGCTGAAACTGCACGACTGTTTCATTATTTAATTTTCCATTCCTCAGCTTCAAAGGTATTGAGTTACAGTGAAACCTCGATGCATCGTTTTCAGCGGGGGTGGGAAATAAAAACGATGAATGCGGGAAAGCATTAAAAATTTAAAAAACAAACAATGTTTCTCTTTCAAAGTTACTTCTTTTTACCAAAAAAGTCTTTAATGGACAACTGGTTTGTTGAAACTTTACGTTTTAGACCAAACAGAGAACTTTCCACGTTCAAAATGTTTTCTTCATCACGTTCACTAATATTAAGCGCATAAAAGAAAGACTTCACTTTCGCCAATGCAGCGTGTGCTTCGGCAAAACTCGGCAAAGCTTCGGGCTCGCATTCGTCGTCTTCCTCTTCCTCACCGCTCCAACCCCCTTTGCGGACAATAACAGGAAGAATGGAAATACTATTACTGCCGAACTCAACGAAACGTAGCTGTAGAAGACCCTGAACC